TCTATTGCACTGCTATTGTATTTGACATTGAGTGTACAAAATGAGTAAAAATTAAATCGTGGCCATCAAAGCTGTGGAGATAGAAAGCAATGGGAGCGCAAATGAGAACAATTTTCTAATTTCTATATCACCTTTTTTACTTATAAATGATCATGACCACTACAAAGTGGCTTTGCGCGATTGTCAAACTGACAGACAACCAGAGAAAAAAGATTAGCAAAGCTTTTTCGACTTATTTGTATACACTATAACTACATACGTATGTATTTATGTACAATAAGCTTTCTTCGCTGGCTTCTTCTATTCTCATGTGTGCTCACCGCTCACACAAAGCAATTAGATGTGGGCGTTAAGCACACGGTGTACAGCAGGCTGGAAATGGTGGGTGGGGGGTTTAAAGGTTACCTAGCGTGTGGCTCAAAATGTTATAAAACCAACGATGTCAATGTGTTCTCGACGTTGGCCTTCAGAGAAGCCGTAATGTTCGCAAAAGTGTAAGAAAGCTCATGTGTACTCACTTCCGCCATCTCCCCCCCGTAGAAAGTGGTGAATGGCGGACATGTGGAGATTGGGTTAAAGAAAGCGCATGCGTTCCTTTGAATGACGGACCACTCTTCGCTCTTGCCACTCACAAGCACACTTCCGTGCATGGAAGCTTACATTCTCAGCTAGTATGTAGAGCTTCGCAGCTTTTTGAGTTTCGTTACACTCAACGTCGCCATGTAGAATTTCCAAATTCCCATAAGCGATTCAACGGCCGTCCGGTGCAGTCATAGCGTTCGAAAGAGGAAGAGGGCATTAGCAACTAACATAATTTTGTTACTGTGATAAAATAAACCAAAAAACAAATAGTACGTAATCCCAATTTAATTATAATTAAATATAATTTAAACAAATCTAGTTTTGTGGTGGCAAACATTTGATCTAAATGATTATGAATGGAAAGCGTTAAATTGTGTATCCAGGCAGCGAAAAGCGAGCTTCAGCTGGCAAACCGTGCAATTATCTAATGCAGAAGCATTGAAAAAGCTTTCAACTCGAAGGGGTTCAGAGTTACAATTTAAAAGTGTAGCTGTGAAAAAAATGCGGGACTTTGCAAATTTTTGGTTTTATATGTCAGTTTGCATAAACGCGAAATTTCAAGCGACTGATATCAAAGATATTTTATGTGACTTGAGGCAAAGAATACTGGTTATGCAACCACAGCAGCATCATTGGCGGCGGCGGCGGCAGCGGTGGTAGTGTTTGTAATCGTTTCGCGAAAATGGTCGGTCGGTAGCTCGCTGGCTTGTGATGGGTCGATCGTTCCATCGTTTGTTCGGCGGTCGATTCCATAGTGCCAACGTCACAGTCGACGAGCATGGTTTATGATAAAAATGCGGCGGTTTTATATAATTTAACAGTTATCACATGAACATACAGGTGTACATACATACATACATACATATATATATTTCGTCACCTGAAATGTAAAAACTCGTAACAAACAAAATTTTTTGTTTCCATAAAACGAGTGGGGACTCGTAATTCGATGAAATGCACCATAATCAATCAATAAGAAAATGTTGGATTTTTTTTTTTTAGTTACGACCATTTGGATTTCATGTGACGATATGTACATATGTATGTACATAAGAACATCATGGTTCGTATATGCAGTTAGTTCGAATGCCATGAAACGAAGCTTAGCGCAAAACTGACCTTTGTACCAAACAAATATGTATGTATGTACATACACAGCTATGTTTGTATCTATGCGTGAACATTTATATATCTAGTACTAGTCGGTTACAAACTAGTTTTTGTTAGCCACGTGTAACTTTAAGCCATCAATCAATTGTGACGTAACCATGCAACTACATACATATGTACAAATACGATATAATACCTACATTAATACGTATGCGACAACTTCTTGTGCTGCTCTCAAGAACCAGGCCATAGTACTTATACAAAGTAGCACATCTACTATATAGTATATACATACATATATACACATATTTACATATATTTGTATGTAAACGTGTACTTGTGTTGGATATTATTTTGCACTTGGAACTCGACATTAGATAACAGACTTAGACGCAGTGCGTATGAGTAACTTGTTCATGACCCTACGGGCGTATGATTAACACACACAGTGTACATAGCAGACAGAAACAGCTGCGAATAGATCAAAAATGTATTGAGTCCACACACTTTCTTTAGAGCTTTAAATAGCTGGCTGCTATGTACATATGTATGTTATTGATTGATTGATTTAAGTAGTAGTTTTGAGTACAACTTTTGAATAGTCAAAAAAAAAATGTTTGTAAAAAGTATTAAGTATCTTTGCATATTATGTATATAGCATTTTGTATTTAGTCTGGCTTATCGAAGACCATGTTCTTATGTCTCCATACATTTATGTGGTTCAAAAGGAAGCCAATAGCAATTTTTGTCACGACGGTCACTGAATGTCTTAATCTTTTCGTGATACTTCAGTAACACTTACGTGCAATTACAATAGAAGCAGTAAAAAATATTTAATGAAATTATATGTAAAAGTAGTATTTGAGTAAATCGATATTTGGTGAGGGTTTGAAAATGAAAATAGAAAAGAAAAACCAATCAACCAATAATGTAAAAGTAAGATTAAATTAAAAAAAAAGAATAAAATAATTTATTAATAGTAATTGGGGAAAATAGGTTCATCGTTTTTAGCTCTAAAAAATCATTTTTTCAGGCCACGTTCATTTTCATAAGAAATATTGATTAATTAAAAAGTAATAATTCGAAATCTAATTTAACTTAAAAAAAAATAAACAAAAAATTATTGAACTTAACATTGAATCTAGAAAGACTATATTTGTGTCAATGATACTCATTTGAAATGAAATTCTTTCAGCACTAAAGTTGAACTTTTAACTATTAGCAAAAAAAAAAAACTACATAAAATTCGTAAGCTTCCTTACGGTACTTTTATAGAACGATTTTTTCCACTTGGGCCAAATGAGGGCTGCAGGCCATGTATTATGTTAATTTTCAAAGTATAAAAACAAGATTTTATTTGAAAGTTAATATAAAAAATGCCGATTTCAACAAACGGGTATGCAACTGGTTTGATTATTTTAATTATTTGTAATATTTTTAACTTAATAACGTTTTTACATCAACAATGAAAAAATAAGAATTGCAAAAAAATATTAACAACCGTAATTTATTTGAAAAGTTATAAATTTTTCTCTTAAAGGTTTTAACACATTGTTTTGTTTTTAATTATAAATAATTGGCAATATATAAAATAATGCATACATTATATTGCATTTGTCTTTTTTTTTTAATTTCAAGGCCACAGCGGTCGTTCACAGCATTCGTTTGCATAAGACATTTTGTTGGAATAGTCTCTAGCGACCAAACAAATAATGTATTGTAGTTTTTTTTTTGTTTTTGATTACATAAAGAAGAAACGGATACATTTTCGCATAAACATAGTATACATATGTACATGCATACATGCATATATTTTCGAAAGAAAAAAAAAACGCACGGCATACATACTACACACATTTGTACATTTTTGCTCTTTCATCAATTAACACACTTGAACGAGTTCTAAATTTAAATCTAAAATGTTTTGCTGATCTTGATATTGGCTGCGTGTTCTTGCCGTCAGGCTGCAATTGTGCGGTTTTTGGCAGTGAATTAACAATTGTAAAAAAAAGCGTATAACTAAAGGTTTTTTTTGGCGTAGCAAAAAATTTCGTTTTAACGCTTTCTACGTGCAAGGCACTGAATTGTTGTTTATATTACAATTTGATTACTTTTTTTGTTAATTTGTATAAGTTTTATTTTTTTAATTCAATTCAAAACAAGTAATTTTTAAGCAGAAAACAAAACCGAAAACCAAATTAGAATGGGACCACCTTTCCTTAAAAAAAAAAATTAGAAATCGGTTGACGTGGTCCAAAGTTATGCGGTAACATACATTATTCCAACGGATTGATGGATAACCTTCCTCCTCTATGTAAAGTCGGTTAAAAATAAATTAAATAATCAACAAGAAAGAAAAATGGGTTTTTTTGTGGAAACGTGTATATAAATTTGTATACGTTCCAAAAATTACAACTATTTTTGACATCGTCGGGATACAAACGCATAAACACAGTAGGGGCGTTCTCGAAGTCGTGGAAAGCTGTCCCATAGGAAACCCGGTTTTACCACGCAATTCGTGCACCGTGCAAGGGCTTTGCAAGTAATGAGGCGTAAACAATTAAGGTGTCAAACAAAACAAATGTTGAAATCTTAACCAAAGTTAATGTTGAAAGAATATGAAACTATACATACAAAATGATGGAAAGTGATTTACCTAGAACATAATTTAATATATATTATTATTTATAATGAGGAAAAAGTAATTTGAGACTATTTGAGATTTTCAAACGCACAAAAAAAGTTGCATACGACTTTGGCTTGGTAACGGGATTAGCTCATAAATTTCCACATTTGTATGTTTGCACATATGTATGTACATAAGTAAAAAAACACACCACTTGCTAGAAAATTAAACCAAAAGTTTCAGCTCCAAGCTTCACTGTCGATCATGCACTGACTCAGACGTAGCAACGAGACGATCTTCAAAAAACCAGTTTGGTTGAGCTACATTTCAGCTGCGATCTAAATTGAATTGTCATCTATTTGCAATACTATTTTTTTTTTTTTTAATTTTAATAACATATATTGTTATCGCGAAATAGTACCGACTTCCCATTGTAGTGCACAAGTGCAAATATTAAGCGCATGTCTCGTTCGGCATCGTCTGCCGTTCGCTGCTCGTTTTAGGTGATGTCACGCATGTCCCGCGCTAAGCTGATATGAATACAATCTTTTAGCACCATACTATTGACATGTGATTACGCTTGCCAAACGTAGATTAGAAAAAAGTGATAAAAGTGATATTCCTAAAAATTCTACACTATACGAAATTTATAAAACCATTTTTTTTCTTAACTTTTTTTCAGCAAAATGGCAAAGGAAGGTAAAACTGCTGATCCCTTTGCATTCCTCAAGGATTTCGCTGCCGGTGGTATCTCCGCTGCCGTCTCAAAGACTACCGTCGCACCCATTGAGCGTGTGAAATTGCTCTTGCAGGTTCAACACATCTCAAAGCAAATCAGCCCTGATAAGCAATACAAGGGTATGATTGATTGTTTTGTCCGCATTCCAAAAGAGCAAGGTTTTCTGTCATACTGGCGTGGTAACTTGGCCAACGTTATCAGATACTTCCCAACCCAGGCTTTGAACTTCGCCTTCAAGGATGTATACAAACAGGTGGGTTGGTTTGTTATGAACTTTTCAAAATTTTTGTGCATATTATATGGACTATACATATGTATATAGTGTACTATGTATATATACATGTTTTATTAATTTTCATGCAATTTTTCCAGGTTTTCTTGGGTGGTGTTGACAAGCACACTCAGTTCTGGCGTTATTTCGCGGGTAACTTGGCCTCTGGTGGTGCCGCTGGTGCCACTTCTTTGTGCTTCGTCTACCCATTGGACTTTGCCCGTACCCGGTAGGTT